CACATCTGCTACCATGGTGGATGATGTAGCAACATCAGATCTGTTTACTTGGAATTGGAGATGCTTTTCTCCCAAATAGGAGAAAGGAGAGAGACAAGATTGATATCTGCTATGCCTTTCTGGCTCATTTTCTGGATGTACAATTAAGAAGAGGTCAAATTTTAGTTAGACATTTCAGAGCTGAGTCATAATGTTCATTTTCCCATATGAAATGTTGTGCTGCACTACTTTTCCAACTCACCCAATTGATTTTTCATGGATGCTTGTTTTGGTCGCAGAATCCTTAAAATTTCGGAATGAGAGACAGCATTTAATGCTCATTTCCCAAGTCGTTTGCTATTGTTTCGTTGAAATGTAAACCTGCTCCCCATCGGTTTGAGAAATCTCAAAAATCTCTTTCCCTGTACCTCTTGTCACTCCTTCTCGGCATTGCTTCAATGGGTTATACCATGGACCCTCTGGAGAATCAAGCTGAAGCATCTCTGCATATTTTCCGCGTTGTACTGTTGTACGGTTCAGATGTCATCCTGAAGGATTCACAAGTTAGTGATTAGGAACCCTTCGATTTGATACGTTTCTCTCTGGATAAGAGCAGGTCTATTTTCCATCAAAGGACAGCTTTGTGGTCAAATTAAAACCTCATTTTTCACTAGCAAATAAACAAAAACTGTATTTGGCAAAAAAAAACACAAAAAAAAGGTCCTGCAGTAATTTGGTAACACACTTGGAACAGTTTGTGTTTTCTTTAGTGTCTACGATATGCGCACACTTTTGTTTGCACGCTTTTCTCTGCATGTTTACGCGCATTTTCTCACACGCGTGACTGCATGAGTGTGTTTGCGGGCTGCAGTAAGCCACAGGCGAGGTTACATCTTGCAGCAATTAAGCTGCATGCGTCTCTTGTGCCCCTCCATTCGTCTAGCACAGTGTCTTATTTCAGGGCCCGCCTGCATTAGATAAACTGAGAACACTTGATGGCTTGGTGGCTGAACACTGCAACAACATGTCACACTCATCAAATCATTTCTCCAACATAATATGTGGTGCAGTTAGACAGAATCTGAGTGTGCTTGACAAACCAAAGAGATGCGAAGCAGAAGTTAATGATGGAAACGATGGAAAACATGGAAGATGGGGGGAAGAGATTGGTGAAGCAACATTCATAAAACGTGTTTTAATCCAGACCTCCCATTGAAATACAAATGGAAACACCCCTGTGGTCTCAGTGCCCTGCCAAAGAGAAGGCTGCGGATCAGTGGGAATATTCCATGATGACAACATGACTCGGAAACATGCAATTACCATGAATGGGATCACTTGACATGGCGAAACCTTTGATTGTCGATAGGAGCTTTGATGCCAGAAAGCAGTCATCCCCGGCATTGCTGTGAGGCACTTGACACAATAAAATGCTACAAATGTTTTTCACTGAAATAACTAGATAAAGTGTTGTAGATGTACATTCACATTAGGGTTGTTTATGGTGACCAAAAACACACCAAAAAGGCCCCATATTGCCTTGCTTTTCCACATGTTTTCAGCAGGCTCTGCACAGACGGACGACCACGGCTTCTGAATGGATTCAGTTCGGAAACCTGTAGACTCTGAATTTCTGCATTTCATAATGAATTGAAAACAGACATTTTCAACCATAACAGGTGTCAAAGTTTTTAAACTTCGCTCGATCTCACTCTCATAAAGCAGTGAGGCCCGGTTGCAAATGCACCCCCACAGATTATTTGCTGGTTTTGTAAGTGTAATAATTTACAAATCGATTAAAAAATTCCTGGATGTGCAGCGTGCGTCGGTATGGTAAACCAAAAAAAAAGGGACTTAGTCATGAAATGGTCATTTGATAAAAAAGCAACTGCAGGCATGGCCGCTTTAAGGTTTAAAGAAAGATTCTCTTTGTGTGTGCTGCCAGTTTTCTGTATTTGCCAGGGCGCACCTAAACGTTTGCATTCATCTACAGGGCCATGCAGGGAAAACTGCTGGCAGGGACTTCATTTATTTATCACACATTCAGTGAGCAGACATTAATCAGACCCTCAGTTCATACCAGATCTGAGGGTAATCTGAGGGCAGTTAGAGTTTCCGTCCCCTCCAGGGCTCTGCGATCAGACTGAAGTCAGACATCCCCACCGATAAGTCTCGAAGATAAACAAAGATTCCAAACTGTTATCGACAAAGGAATAATAATGGTGGAATAATAATGCTGTTGTTCTCTTAACAATTGCTGACAAGAAACACAATGTTTCTCCTGGCATTACCAATGAGAAGTAGAGTTGTCTATTCACGTCTTCTAAATTCTATTCATGTTTTTTTCTGACACATACTTTGTGTGCACGTCAGCTGATGTAGTTTTTTGAATGGCTAAGGGAGACAGACAGATGTTAACACCCTTCCATTGTGGCACACACATGTTCTGGCGTCACACGGGCAAAAATGTTGGTGACATTATTTCATTTAACAAACACACACACACACACACACACACGAGTAAGTACGGCCAGTGCTACAGAAGTCAGCAAAAACTGCACAATACATCATGGCCACCGTAGTCAGTTTAGTGATTTTGGCCACAGAAATAAATGCCTCCGAAGAGTCCCATGCCAGATGTTTTCAACAGCAGCCAAACATATTCCAAAATACTTAACACAACCACTGAAACATAGACACACACAAGCACGTAGAAGTACCACTACTTGACCAGAGCATCGCACGGTCCATGACGCACATTACCAAAAGGCAAATGAACAATATTTACAAAGCACACAAACCCTGATTAGTCGGAAATAGGGGGTCTAAATAAATAGTTGGAAAAGACACAGACATAACTCGTAAAAAATATGGCAAACACATACAAGGTGGCGGCTGGAACTTCCTACTTCTCCCATTTCTGATCAACATAGAGCAAAGGTTGAGGAGAAGAGCAACTGGAAGCGTGTTCTCCTCACACGCTCCCGGCAGTCAGTGCGTGTTTACGGATGCTACTTCGGAGGATTGTGTCAGTGGGAAATTAGTCATCCCTCCAGCCATTTAACATATACACTTATCCCTCTCTGTTGATCTGCTGCTTCGCCTTCCTCGAGTTTTTCTTTATTATCTTTTCTTGGCCACAACCATGTCTCATTTCCTCTCCGAAAGCTCCTTAAGCCACAGTTTTCCTCTCCTGGGCTTTGACCTTCTGTCGTGGATTCTTCACAGTGTCCAAACTCCGTCCCCACTCCTCATTTCGGGCTAATTTTGCTTTTACAGGATTATTTCTGTATCTCTGCAGTACAGAAATGAGAAGGGGACTGTTTGCGTGAATGCAGCGTGAGCCCTCTTGCTTCTTTGTGGTAGATCCAGTCATAATATACGTGATTAATGCTTTGGGGCTCCTCCTGGGTTGTGTTTCAAGGCAGTCGCTATCTTTTTTGGCATTGCGCTGGTTTAATCCATTAACCTCTTAAACTGTACTATCTCAGCGGTAATTTATTATTAGAAAGGCCTTATTTTAACTTCTAGTCCAAGAAACATGAGAAATATTGATTGAACAGAAACACTGAATAAGAGCAGCGATCCTTCCAAGCGGGTTTGTAATAGATTCGTTTCCCACTGAGCAGATGCTTTTCTTAAGAAATCAGTGATTTGCCTCAGCCACAAAGACCTTAAAACTCAGTTAACTTTTATTTCTATTTGGTATGCTGCCACTCAAACTCCAGACCAGGATGCTCGTCAAATAAGGGCCCTTTCTGGATTAGGATCACAGACAAGATCTCTCCCCACTAACCCCCGAGACCTGAGGGCAGAATGTGTGGGAAAGCTTGACAAATTGACAGGAAGTTGTCGTGTAAAGGCAGAGGAGTGTTTGTGTGTTTCCCCGTGTACCTACGCACGGATGTGTGTGTGTGTGCACGTACGTTTGCCCGGCAGGCAGAGCACGAGGCCAGGTCAGGAAACAAAGTGGTTGTGCCACCGGAACCGAGCAGAAGAGAAATGACTCAAAATCAGGCTGGCAGGACTTCTGAGGAGCAGAGCTGAGTGGACATTGAGGGAGGACAGCGCGTTGACGTGGATCACGGTGCGCCTAATCCAACAGGAAAACAAACAGCCATTTGATGATGTTTCTATCCGCAGAGCATTTGAATCTCTAAAGTGTGCAGTTCTTAAGCTGGCTTTGGAAGGCGATCTGAAAGGTGCGTACACTGAATGATTGGGGGGAAAATTTAAAGAATAACAACTAATCAATGAGGCCCCGTGAGCTGCCACAACAGTTTCTCTGAAGATTGATTCTACATGTCTCTCTCACTCTTTTGGATGGATTGAACATTTATTTGTTGTTTTTTTGATGAGCAGGTACATTACATTTTTTTTTTTTAAATCAGCAAAGTCTTGCTTTTTACCAGCAATATGTAACTCAAATTTGTGACTGAGGACCAGCTAAGTGCTGTGGAGTGCTTCCCTCTGGTGGTCATTGGTTAACTGTGCAGTCTGCTCCTTGCTAACATGCGACAGGTGTGTTGACTGAATAAGAAACTATGAAGCATATTCAGCGCCAGAAAATATCATGGTGGAAAACACATCATACATGTAGATATCATAGAGACTGGTGTGAAACTGGATGGTAAAAATCATTAAAAACTGGGAACAGTGACACTGTTAACTGATGCATATTTAAATTCAAATTACGATATCAATTGGGCAATTAATTGTGATTTTTTATTTGATTTTATTCCGTCTAATAAGGAGGGAAAAAAACTAGAAATTTGCTATTTTGGATCTGATAAATGTCTAACTTTTTCAAGTTTGGAAAAAACCTGAGAGCACATTTACCGTTAAACTAAAAAGTACATTTAAAAGTACTTTTTAAATCGAAAATATAAAACATCACAACATAGGTTTGGAGGCAAGCTTGAATTTACTCAATAGCTTCAAATTCAGTGCTCATATCAAATGCTATATGGGGTTATAATGTGGTGTGTAGCAGGTAACAAATGTGAAACACAGATTCAGAGTGCAGCTCTTTGAAAATTTAATAAAGTGGGCAAAATACAATTGGCAACCTTTCTCGTTACTACAAAACGCTGAAGAAACAACCACGAGAAAAGTTAGTTCTTCGATTTCCCTGTCTTGGTACAAAACGTTTCAGTCAAGGAGAAGTTTATGAAATCGTACAAGCTAGCGAGTATAAAGACATGCAGACTGTTCAGGGTCAAACGCCTCTCAGGAAGAGAAATCAGCTCCTGAGAGACACGCTCAACTCTAAATGAGTTTGATCTTACTCTTGTTAAACAGTGTTAGTGCTCCATGTGCGCTGAACAGCTCAACACTGCTGAGTAAAAGTTGAGCTATGGCTCTAGGTACAGTGCTCAGGTAAAGGAGACTAAACAGTGCAGAGGCCTACAAGAGACTAGAACAAAGAAAAAGCCTTTGAAACACCTATTTATAAAATGTACAGTGTGTTTCGGTACCTAAAGACGAGCTGTAAAAGAGACATGAATATTAACAAGCAGAAAGAGGAGTAAACCCATCTGTGCTAAATAAATAAATAATGAGACGGTAAAAGACAGCAAGATGGGAAAACTGTCTGATTACAGGTGACAGGGGAACTTTACCACAATTTGGTTTCAGCCAGTACACACGCATTTCAAGTAAGAAGTCTCAAACAAAAGACCAAATGGTGGGAAAGGACTGGACGAGTTTCCTCTGAGTCAAAAACAAAGAAACAGAGCGCATGTCGTCAGGCTTATGACTCAAACTGTTTTGTTTGTTTGTTTGAAGATGGATAAAGCCAGCCTCTTGTATAAATGATGATAGTCACGAGGAGAAAAGGCTTCTGATTCACACAAAAAACGCACAAGGCCATGGAAAACACAGAGTTCAAACTTCTACAGTACACTTATATAAAAAACAAGCAGGAAAACATTTATATTCAAAGAAGTGCTGTCAGAACAAAATTCTGAGGGCAGAACCGTTCAGCTGGCATTCCAGCTCAGTCACTTGAAATTTTAAGAGCTCCAAAAATATTCTGTCAGAGAACAGTGGACATCTATGACACACCTAGATAGAAATAGCACTAATACTGTTGTGTGATCAAGTGGAAACCTTTGACAATACACAGTGTGCCAGAGAGACAAACACAATATTTTGAGTGCACATTTAACAGCATATTTGTGTCGCAAAACAGCCCCCGTACAACCATCCCAGTCATGTGCATGTGATTTAAGCTAACGGACAGATAGATTACATAGTATTAGTGTGGACTGATCACACAGACAAAAAATAAGAACTATTTCATTATTTTTAGAAGCAGAGATTAGCATGTTCGCTAAGTGATGAAGTTTCCCTCAATTACACTTCATCCACACCTTTGTGCCTGTTCACATCTCTTGTGAACATGCTGTCTGTGCCTGGTTGGATCTGATTAGTCTTTATTCTGAACCTAAATTTAGTGCTATTCTTCTCTGTGCTGATAATTAGATATTATATCAGATGTATAGGATAGAGGATACACTGGTAGTGTATAGACGTACATAAAATGTTTGACTGACACTGTATATTATGCAACTGTCTGTAAGCACAAGCTGTATTCACCTTTCTTTTTCTTCCCCAATCCTGAGCGGGAGGGAAGATCGTATAGGTAACAACTTACTTGAGAAAAAGGCAATAAATGCACTATTGTAAACCAACTCCTAACAAACAAATATTCCAGGTTTATCCACAGTCTGCAGTTTGAAAGACGCTGTGTGTCTGGGAGCCCCCCGCCTCTGTCTCAGCAGGTCTCCTTGGCTTGACTTGGCATCTTACACATCATCAGGATTTGCTTCAAGGCTTTCTGTACATCCTCATCCATCTGACCCTGAGAGTATACGGGAGATCTTCAGTTTAAATCACCAAAATAAACAAAGCCTGTTCTGTTAAATGGGGTTTTTAAGCTGTTAAATAATACGTTTCTAATATAAAGAAAAGCATGTCTTGATCTATGATTGTCCCAAGTTAAGAAAACTTAGAGGTGAGCCGCCACCTTCCCAAGACCACTGTAAAGTATGCATATATGATAATTTTTTAAACATTGGCTCATTTTAAAGCAGCATTTTCTGAGTTTTTGTTCATCACCCATTTCATTTTTGGTGAAATTATTCTGACATCTTGAGAGGAGTAAAAAGAGTTCTTTATTTTCTTGATTTTACTTCTTAAAATATGTTTTTTTTAAGGTGATGAGGTCTTTTTTTCATTCAAATTTTGAAAGATTAGCTAGACAAAATGTATCAGTTTCAGTCTTAGATTCACCTGAACAGCGTAGAGGAGATGCATCCTGTAGACTGACACTATTTCATGGTGCTGCTTCTTTGATTCCTAAAGAGACAAAACAAAATGAATCATCTCAATATATACATCAAAGCCACTGTCATTAAATGGTTTAGAGTGTGTTAAACAGGCTGAATGAATGAATGCGTCTCACAGCGAGCTGGTACTGCAGTTGTTTGATTTGCTGCTGCAGCGTTTCCAGCTGCTGGCTTTGCTGTTGTCTCTTGGAGGGGGAGCAGGAGGTGTAGGAGTGCTGTACTATGCTGTTTAAAGCATCCTTTAGTTTAACTACTTCCCGAGACAAGTCATCTATCTGAAAGGGATAAAAAAAACAGTATTTTGTTATTTTTGATGCAACAATAAACATATAAAATGCAAAGATGGAGGGCGGGAGAATGGATTACATATTGTGTGATTTTTTGGTAGACAGATGTCTGGAAAATAATACAATTAGCAACCCATGCACAGTGAGTTCTCCCACTGTGATGGTACTTATACAGTGGCGACCAAACTATTACTGACCCTCTTATTCTTTTCTCTGAGGGAGGCAACATGGTTTTCTTCCAGCTGTTTGAGTTGACACACAGCATCCTGGGATTCGGCCAGTCTTGAGCTCAGCGTCTGGTTCTCCTTTTCCCGCGACATCAGCAGCTCCTGCAGAGCTTCCCGCTCCGCACAATTATCCCGGGCCTGCGAATGAGGGAGAGGATACGCGGGAGGGCGTTTTGAAGTTGTTTCCAGGCTTCTGTGTGTTGTTGTTGTTGTTTTCTCCTCTGTCTTCTCACCTTCTGCCACACATCGGCCATCTCCAAAGCCATCTCATCCTGCTTCCTCAGGGCATCCTGGAGGAGCTGCCTCAGATGGTTTACGTCACCCTCCAGCTGCTCCCGCATGTTGTCATGATCCGACCGGGAGACCGACTCATCAGGGGTGACTTCTTTCTCATTACTCATCCTTTAGTGAGAGAAACAGAAGAACCACATAGTAAAAACAAAAGCCAAATGCCAATGAAAATGTTCTAAACTCCTGATTTATGGGCTCCAAATTGAATTATCTACATGATGGGTTAAAAAAATAAAGCGTATTATTAGGAAGTCGTACAGTTGTGCTGTTACGACACTCAAACTGTCTTTAGAAGCAAAAGCTACTAATTCTACTGCCCGAAAAACATCTTTCAAGTACGTGGTCCAGGACAGTTGCACAGCAGGACCACCTCTGAGTCAGATCTCAGTCTTACAACAGCTGTGTAAAAAGCAAGAGGCCATCCGTGGTCTACCCCAACTCACGCACCGTGTGAGCTGGGAGAGGCTCCAGGCGCATTAACATTTAAGTTACAATATCAAATGAGAAATATACTCAAGCCCATCATATGAATGAAGGGAAAGGCTGTTTTGGGGTAGGGCTCCACGTAACTTTTTCTTTAGCAGCATTAGTGCCCTGGCCTCAATATGAGTGCAGAATACTTCTTTGCACCCAATAAATCAAATGTATTACAACAGGGCTCTGCTGTGTTTCAGCTGCTGGAGGCAAAGGTGGCACTATCAGTAGTATTGATTCTGTTACAAACTCAGTACCATTATGTGCTAACTGTTCAAATCGATTGGCGTTTGAGTGGTGATTGTTCTGACGAACCCTTTCAGTATTCAGTTTCTTTCCTCACCTCGTCTGCAGAGCCTCCATCTGGGTGGTCTTTTGGTGTAGCTGTTCTTTCAGGGCTGTTAACTCACTTTCCATCTCTTTGATCGCATTTCCCATCGACGACACGACTCTCTGGTGGTCGCTGAGGGAAACAGAGTTCTGCGTCTGTTCCTCCGCCTGCTGTTTCAGGCGTGTAATCCCCTCCTGAGCGGCCGCGTGCTTCCTCTCAGTTTGGGCCAGCTCCGTCTGCAGCTCCTCCACCTTCCTGCTCAGCACGAGGACCTGCTGCTCTGCGGAGGCGGCGGAGGCCGCACCGATCTCAGCTTGGGCCTCAGACAGTTGTTTCTGGGTGGCGCTGAGCTGACTGTTGATTTCACTGTAGCACTGGGACATCTCCAGCAAGCGCCGCTGCAGGGCAGCAATGGCCTCGTCCTTCTCAGCCTTCACCTCATCCAGGCCCCGCAGAGCTTTCTAGACACCGAGAAAGAACGTTAGGACATCAAATGATTAATGAATGGCCTAAAAAATTATGCATCGTACGGAAAAATTCAACAGTTGTTCTGATTATAATTCACGTGTGTGACGAGGATGATCATATGACAATTTAACCCATAAAAGCCGACACAGGCTGCATAAACACACAAAGTTCACCTTTTGGTTTTTTGTTTTTTACCTGAAGCTCCTCGACTTCCTCTTGCGCCTCCTTGTACCGCTCCTTAATCTCTGCCGTCCTCCTCTCATTCTCCTTCACCACGCGCATATCCTCTTCTGTCCTCTTCAGAGCCTCCTCCAGGTGCCTGATTCGCTCAGCTGCTTTATCCCGCTCCGACTCTGATTGGACAAGCTGAGCCTTGAGCTGTTTTACCTCATGTTCAAGTGCGGAGGATGCGTGTTTCTGTGTCTCCTGTTTCTGTGCCGGTTCTCCTTCTCTTTTCCTAATCTGCTCTCTTAAATCCTCAACTTCCTCCATAGCTTGATGGTATCTCTCTTGAGTGTCTGTCAGCTTTGCCTGCAGGTCAGCTAAACTCTCCATCAGCTCATCCTCTCTCCTTCTCTCTTGTGCACTTCCACTGTCCTCTCTTTCTCTGCCTTGTTCGGGTTTCAGCCGTGCTTGAAGCTCATCATTTTCTCTCTTTGTTTCAAGCAGCTCCATGTTAGCGCTCTCTAGTGCCTGTCTCAAAAGCCTGACCTCTTCCTTGCTCCCTCCTTCTTTCTCCTCTTTAACAGAAACAGCTTCCGGATGGTTCCGTCCTTCCACCGGAGAGGTGGCAGTGCTCTGTGTCTGTGAATCAAACTCATCCTGAGTGGAGTGGAAGGAGGAGTTTGAGGCCATGCTGTTTGGACGACTGTTCTCCTTCAGCTCCTCATTTCCTTGGACGGACGGATGTTTCTGTGTGTTGGAGGCGCAGAGCCAAGAAAAGTTGAGAAAAAAACAAAGTAGATTCTTGTTTAAAGTGCAGCCACACTAAATGGAGCACATTTTCCCCAACAGGGAGAAAAATGTAGTGTTGGGACTTTTGATGATGGTCTTTACTTTCTCGTCTTTGATTTAAGAGCATGCAGCCGTTTCTTGGCTTGAATACATAGTGTTCTCCCTGTGTTCAGTCATTTATTTATAGGTTAACTATAAGTAAATGGGCTGCATACCTTGACTTTGCTTGCGAGTTGCTGATTCTCCAAAGTGAGAGCATTAATCTTGGCTTGCAGTACCGAAACAAGAGCTGCAGACGCTGTTTTGTCAACCTGTCGACAAACACACATACACACACACACGTGCGCGCAAACACATTCACATGCCAGAGGGAGACATAAAGGCAAAGTTAAGGACCACTGCTACCAGCGGAAAAAACAACACAAGTTGTGACACGTTGTAAGCTTAGGTGAGTCCTTCAAGAATGCTGAAGGAGAAGACATTCAGCTGTTGTTTGCGTTAAGTCGAGCACTTTAGAGTTTATAGGGAACTAATAAAAAGAAAAAAAAACTTTTTTTTTTTATTTACCAAACAGAAAAGTGATATCTAATACATCCACCATGTCAAAATTCACATAATTTGCTTGAAAAAAGTTCCAAATGCATGCAAACTACTCTTCGCTGTTAGTAAAAACTTCAAGGCATGACATCATTGACCTGGTCTTGGATTTTTGGTCAACGTGGCCGCTTTAAAATCTGGTAACAAGGCAAATTAACATGTAAGATTACTGTTAGGTTGCGTGTCATGAATCACCTCAGGAGGAGCGGTCCCCGTCTCCACCATCTGCTTCAGCTCTTCGATCGTCTCCAGCAACATATTTCTCTCCTCTTGGAGCTTCCCGACCTCCTCTTTCAGGGTCGCGCCTCTAATCTCGTCCTCCTGTGATATAAGGGGAGGAGGAAGAGGTGAAGGGTGGCGGGAAAAAAGAAAAGAAAAGAAAACCACACAGGGTGGAAGGCTTCTGGAGGCTTATGGGAGGAATTTACATTAGATATATAAGGTACTGCCACAGACCATGCTGGTACAGCTTTCAATCCAGGTGTGTTTGTATACCTTGTAGTTGAATCTCCTCGGAGTGTCACTTTTATTTGATGCAGGAGTGCTTGTAGATGTAACAACAGAAGGGGAAGAGGGCCCAGAACTCTAAAGGATGAGAAAATTGAGAGATGTTTGGCTGAACTACTCCAAAATCTTATCATGTTTATACAAAAGAAGGGCTGATTTAGAGGATTTTTAAGCAGGTTTCTGGCCATATTCCAAAATACGCTGTATATCTTTTGGCTGAGTCTAACAATGGGAATTGTACGATTCTAAAAACAAATACACAAATCAAATAACTGAACTGCACAAGTGAAAAATGAAACTCTTTCACAAACTAGATTTTGATCTCTGTTAAGAAAACACAGGCAGGGGAAATGCTCAGACTGTTGAGATAAAGGCTGAACTAATCATTCTACAATGAACATACTGCAGACGTGCATTAAAATGAACACAGGGTGGCACACTGACACAAGCCGAGAGACACTGAGACATGCATTTACCTGCTGTGGGCTAATAGGAGGTGGAGGTGCTTTTCGTTTTTTGGGAGTTGTGATCCGCTCATCATTTAACTTAGCTACTTGATCATGCTGAGGAGCCAGCAAAAGAGGCAGAGGAGGAAGGCCAAAAAAAAGAGAAAAAGAAAGGTGGGATTCAGTGCTGGTTAGTAAAAGGATAGTAAATCAACGAGCGCTACAATAAGTTTTGTTTTTAAAAGAAATTCCTTTTGTCAAAGCCGACAAATTTGATACACATCCATAAACGCGTGAGCTACACTACGCAGTAAAGTGTAAAAAATAGTTTTTTTTGCATTTTTCATGTGAGCTCTCTTTTTATATAAAACAAATAAATGAACACACCAAACTTAGGAAAGGTCTAAAGTTACAGCTTCTCATGCTGTAGTCACATGTCTCGAGTTAGATTATCTAAACAACTTTTAGTAGAAACTCTTGTGATTTTACACAAGAATAACCATTTTACCATGAACATTTAAGCTGGTTAAGAAAAAAACATCCAGAAAGAAACCATCAAGAATCGGGTGTTCTTTTTCTATTTATGTCTGGTGTTTTCAGTAGACTAAATTATGTCCAGGGATATATTGCAAAGGACAAAGACGTCTTACCTGAGGACTCTTAGGTGACTTGGCATCTGTGGAAAGAAACACCAGGAAATGAACAGCATGTAAAACAGCAGCAGGCTGAAATAACCACTGTAGCCAAAAACAAACCTCCAATAACAGTATAAGAAGGGTTGTCCTACAGATGGCAGTGTTGGCTCTTAAGCTGTGTGTGAGTGTGTGGTTTTTTTTTCCCCATACAGAGAGTTTGACTCAACATTTTCAAATGTCAAGTGTCAAACATTTAAGGCATCCCTTTCAACAGGACAGAATCAGACTGAAGATGCTGTCAGTTGTTGCACTTTTCTCCAGTGAGCTGACTTTTTTGTTTTTTAATTCCCCTTGAAAACCTGGGGGTTCCCACACGTAAATGTATTTGGATGAGTTGTGTTCTTTTAGAACTCTCACCTAAAACTGGATTTCTGTTCAGAGCAGCCATGAGGGCAGATTTAGCTTCAGAGTTGCCTGATATATTGGTGTAGTGTACAACATCCTGGCCTTCTGCATCTACAGCTGACAGGTCTGCCCCTCTCAGCACCAAAACTTCAACCACTGACACGGCATTGGACTCAGCGGCAAGCATCAAGGCGGTCCTGCAAAACATCAATGGTTTTAAGTACGTGCTGAACAACTAACTAACCATTGAGCATTATGTGGCACATGTTATTTCTAAGTCGTGTGTCTGGGCTGATGTTTACTGGTTTTTTACCTGCCAGCATTGTCAGAAGCGTTGATTTCAGACCCAAAGTCAAGTAAAATGCTGCACACTTCAGGATGATTGTGTTTGGCTGACAACATCAAGGAAGTGACCCCGTCCTTTAGGCACAAGCAGATATTCCAAAAACACTCAATATGAAGCAAACAGCCATAACGGAGTTACATACACACAGGCATAAATCATTGTTTATGTCATGAGGATGTGGGCACCGACATGGAGTGCGCCAGCTGTCTGTTAGGTGAGAGAACTCTCAGGTTCATGTGAAGACGAAGAGAATGTATCCTATCCTAAATCCCATTCCGAGCTCATGGACGGGCAGCAGTGTTCTGCCTTTTTAACGCTGCATGTTCACAGATGTGAGATTTAATCATGGAAGAAATAGGTGGTAAATGGTACGCTTGTACACATATAGCCTATATAAGTCAAGTCCATAGGGAAAAATAGTGCTATTTAAATGGAGGACTTATCCCAAAACAATAGTGACTAATAAACATGATATTTACTCAGAAACAGACTAGTAGTAGTCTCTCTTTTCTTTTTTTTCTTCTTTTTTTTTTACAGTTTTGCAAAACAGCAGATCACTGATATATTAAAAGAAGGTTATCCCTCCATAGTGAGTATTTGGAGAAGGAATTTAATCTTTCCACTTAAGTAATATACATAGATTCAAGTTAATAGAAGGAAATGGAAGAAAACAGTAGAAAAAAATCTATTTGATCATATATCTATTTTAGTATTTTTAGTAGTAAAGTATCAAGACAAGAATATTTTCTTTTTGCTGAAAGAAATCTTTTTTCTCAACTTTTTACTGTTCTTTTACGCAATCGTACCGTTTCAAAGATCAAATATTTTCTTGTCCAAACAATTTAGACAGAAATAAGATCTTTTGGATGACTAAGGGAAAACCCCCACGTTACATGGTGCTAAATGAGTAGGCTCAGTAGTTTATTACACAGATACCAGCAGTATTTCATCAAAGGTGGTCATTTCTTCAATAGGGTGGACAGATTCTAATCTCAACCATGACCAACCATTTAACCTAAACATAGCCCTATGTTACCTAAGACCAACCAAAATAGTTGATTGGCTCAGGCTGTTGAGAAGGTCACAGCCTCAGTAAAACTGTGGCCCTGACAGCTAAGCTCAGTAAAATATTTATTGAGCCAAGAATGAGTTCAAAAGTTGTAATTGTGGGGTAATTATAATTTACAACTAATATTAAAACATGTTTTAATTTATGTTAACTGTAAAAATATTCATTTATATATATTTTATCTTAGAAAAAGCTCAGATAAAAACCTAGTAAAATAATGTCACGAGACAGCTAAGCGTGTGTGCATAGTTGTGCGCTTTATATCACAAGGCTGCTCCTGTTTCTGCAGTCTGAAGACAGCAAAACTATGTTCAGGGTTCATCCGAGCTCTGCTAAAGACATTAACAGTCCTGTGTCTGGATTTCTGCTCCTCTGGAATCTAAAAGGCCAAAAATCATTCTGTCCTTTTCTGGGCAGCAGATTCAGTGTGTACGTGTGCGAGGGCGCACAGGTGTATGACTCGGTTTCAATCTTAGCTAGCTTTAAAACTCCAGCAGCAGTCTAAAGACAGACTACCCAAATAGCGTTGCTTGGGCAGAAGCGATAGGAGGAAAATAAATCATAAATAATAATACAATCAACGGAGCTGCATAGAAACATGCCCCAGTTTAAAACTGATCACACCTGAAGCATCCGAGTTGTCAGTACTGAACTCTGGACTCTTCTTTATTATTTCTATACAATCTAAAATAAAAATGGATGTAACTTTAAGTTTTATTATAACATTATAACACCCATTAAGCAACAGTCACACAGAAATAGATTTGCTAAAATCTCACAAACTGTATAGTTGAGATGGAAAACCATTGAAAAAATTCTGATTTACATCTTGTTTTGAGTTTTTTTGTTTTTTTTAAAACTGCAAGGTCACATTCAAAACCTTGTATGTCTTCATGTCCATCATCAGATGACTGGCTTTCACGTAGGATCAATCTTATCTTTATTTATGCAACAAAAGGTATGTTAAGTTTTCCAAAATACAAAATATCAAAATAGGTATTTGCTCAACACTTGAAAAATCCTTGGATTCAAAATAATTTCTTCTGTCTGTCATGAATTTTTGGGGGGTTTGGAAATATTATATATGTATATTTACATATTTTTCTCCAAGAGAATACAGAAGGTCATGCGGAGAATATTACCTCCATGTCTGAGCCGAATTAAAGATTACAATGAGCTGAGTTTCTATAAACATTTGTCTGGCACGATATGCAGGTCCTGGTAGACGGTCCTCTGTTTCCTCCTTCATCTTGCTGTGTGTTTCCTCAAGTCAAATATATTTCAGGTAACCACATCCGACACAGCCATGATGTCTGCCCAGGGCCAACAAGCTGGCATCGCTCTGCTGAGCGTAAAAGGCTTTGTGCTCCAGACTGCTTTCTGGTCTGCAGCCTGCATCCACTAACACAAGACAGATCTGCTCAGATCTCCCACAGGCTTGCAGATGATTACAACCGGAGAGGTAAATGATGTTCAGTGAAAGTGACATCATGATTTATCTTGCTTTCAACAGAAAACGGCAGAGAAGACTCTCATTTACCCACAAAAATGTGGCTGCAGAGTTTCAGATGGTAAGTTTTAAAGGTGCAAATGTGGAAAACATCGTTTTTAAAGAGGAGAATCGTTTCCAGCTTACGGCTGGACTTTTAGTCAGAGTAATTCAAAGTTGAGTCCTGAAAACCCACAAAGGGTCACAGAATCAATACCAGGATCTGTGGCCATTTGAAAAGAGGATTAAAACTGTTTTAACTTGCAATAACAACATCTTTACAGGAGGGTTGAGGGAGTTTTGTGCGAGTGTGTTTTTTTCCAATAGGCCAGCGGTGGCATGATAGCACAATGGAAATAGACAGACAACATCTCAGTCGCTTTCCTCTCCTTTTTCTCAATCTTTTTAAACACACAAGGCATTTCATGCTTACACATCCCAGCTGGGTGAAAACCACAGGCATGGTCTGTCACTGCAATGGAGACCACATGTCTGCGGCTTGAGTTCCCACAGCTCTCTGACCCTCTACCTTACGCACGCACAGCAACGCACACAGCATTAATCAATCTTCAAACGGAGGACAAATGAGGGGAAATGTCAGTTTATGCTGTGGATGAACATTTGTGGGAAGTAGCTGCTGTTCTAGTAAATCTTCATTTCTAATACCAATCACAATTTTTTTTTAAATGTTAACAATCACATTAACGTACACAGACAAAACAAAGATGTAGGTAAGACTCTACAGCCTGTGAACAGTTAATAAACAGATAAAACTCTGACAAAATCCAAAGTGCTCACTCCTCAAACAGCTTGCTCTAGAAATTTCCCTGCAGAGAGTGATGTGAATGAGACTCAGTGGAACATATCTGTGGTCTCTATTTTGTTACAGAGGCCCCCTCCGTCACGCCAGGAAAAATAAGTGTAGGGAAAATAAAGTGGAAGTAAAAATGAAAGCACGTACTGCATCTTTTAAGTTGATGGGACTCTTGAGTTCACACAGCAGTTGAACAATCTGGATGCTCCCACTGGCAACTGAGCAGGACAAAAAAAAAGAAGAAAAAAAAAAGAAGTCTCAATCACTTCATTTCAAATGTAGTGGATGGTTTTATCCGTGTAAAGTCGGAGCTTAAACTTAATCTTGCAAGAAATTTTCCCATGTCTTTCTGGAAGCAGACTGAGTCCACAGTACATAAAACCCTGTCTGTATAATTAACTCTCTGGCTATTAAGGCACTTACCAGCATGATGCAGGGCAGTTTTTCCTGAGCCGTCCAGGACATCAATGGGACATTTGCTCTGGATAGTGGAGGGGGAAGGTTATTGTTAAACAGAGGTGAATCAGTGAAATCATTCAACCTGGCTGGACCTGAGGTCTGTAATAAATAATACATTGTGTTATGTCTACTAGTAACCACAGACTGAAAATGTGCTCAAATAATTCACACGACCCCTCACCACTGCTGCTTTATGGAAATTCAATTTGATCAGATTCAAGACTACACATTTTATACAGAAAACAATATCTTAGCTCATTACACTGAGTTTGGTCCCTTTTTTTATTCATTGTTCATTGTAAATTACATCAATTTTGAGGGAGCTCGTTCACGACTGAACCGGCAGGTGTGGGGTGGTGAGATGCTACAGACTGTCACGTAGTAGTCTGGTCAGCATGTCAAAGGAAGAAAAGTGTGTGTGTATTTGTATGGCCCCCAGCTCAGATCTGCAGATCTACACATCGGTCAGCAGACTGCTGTGAAACTGTCATTTTCTAGGCATCCTAACAGAATACAGAGGGTTAACACTGCTGGTTTAGTGCGGTTACAACACATCGACACAACAAATTCCTGTCTCGTCTCCACCGCAAGTAACAAATAGTCAAAAGAATCCCACTCGTACTCATGACTGATTTTAATACTACGCAACGCTCTTTTCTGTGAGAGCCTCACCTGAAGGAGTTTTCTGCAGCAATCCAGGTGATTGTTTTTGGCAGCCAGATGCAGAGCAGTAAAACCTATTCGACAAATTAAAGGAAGATGTGAGTCAAGATTGGACAGAATAGAAAGTTTTTTTTAATGAATGATACGAAACAAGATATATTAGTAAATGAGAATACGCACCACAAGCGTCAGGAGCTGTCAGGTCAGCTCCATGAGCCAAGATCACAACCAGACAGTCTGTGTGACCACGAGATGCGGAAACGTGGAGACTACACACAAACCAAAAGAGTGAAACTGATTAGAAATACAGGAATTTCATTTTTAGTTAGTTTTCTAGTCTAGCCCAGGTCAAGAGGTGTACGGGTATATAAAGAAGTATTGAGTTAATACGTATAAATATATATACATATACATATCATGTTAAAGGTAATCTATCATCTATCAGCAATTCTTTGCAAGGCTGTCTGATAAAAACAATCTGGATTATAATGATAATTGATCCCTCACTGTCATTCTGATAAATATGGAGCTTTAGTTTGTGGACAGAAACCCTTGTAGAGTGCAGTTCTTTAATCCTGGAGTGGTTTTCTTGGCTACGTCTCCAGTTGCTGGTGTTCGGTCTTTGAGAGCAAACTGACAACCAACTACGCAACAGAATTTCTGCTTGAATGGAAATGCCAGCTCCTCAGATCTGTCCTTATATGACTAAACCTGAATCCAGCCTGCAGTGCTGGAGTGAAAAGCACAAACCCATGCAGCGATTACACAGCTAAATCTCGTAGTACATACCATTAGACGTGCCCTCTTTTGACTAAACAAAATCAGACGAAAGAAAAATATAGAAACGCACCAGTTGTCATAAACAAAACGTGAATCAAACAGCACGTTTGATTGTGAACTCAAAGTAAAGAACAAGAAACGAGCGACACACATAGGATGGAGCAGCATCAGTGAATAATTCCCTACATATAACAAAGGCACAATAGGCACAGGAGGTGGTGCTTTACCTACAGGTATGTTCCTTAAACTGATAAAGCCCCCCCTAAATAGGATGCAGAAAGTGCTCTGAGCCTGAATGGTATGCCTATGTGTGCATATGCATGCGGAGGGAAATCAATGCAAACTCGTTCCACCTCAGTGAGCAGCGTGAAAAAAGCATTACACACGTCCTTCCCTCCCCGAGTGCGCACGCCTGGATATTACACACAAAGAAATGCACAACCTTGTCCACATGCCTCTCAATAAGGTTTAATCACCATAGAGATACTGTAGACTCCTCCATTGTGTGTTGTGAAAGATGGGAGGATTGCGATTCCGAGCCACCATATTCACCATGACGTACAAAGACTGGGAGAATGCGCCCGTCTGTGTGCGTCTGTGTTCTGGTTTCGCACATAGAGAAAAGGTCAAGGATGCAAACTAGTGGAGAAATGAGGAGGCTATTTGTTTGTGTCAGCATGTGAAATCCAGCAAACAAGTTTTTTTCACCGTGTCTGCTGCGGTGTGGCGATATAGCTCGCTCTGTGCGAGCTTCCCAACACATCGAGGTCGGCCGGTGTTGAGTTTCAGCAAAGAAAGAGGTCAAATATTAACACAGAGCCTCTGTGTTATCGACAGCCTCACAGAGGCAAGAAGCTCCCGAGCCTCTGGAGGAATGGATTCACTTTAAAGGCTCTGGGTTTTGTGGAGGCCGAGTGAATGGTTACAAAATGTTCACCTTTCATGAGCTGAGACAAGTAGACATTTTTAGAAAGGCCATTCATTTTTTATGTTGTGTCGCGGGGTACGGAAAGTCGTTTCGTAAGCCAAAGACTGAGCACACGCTACGCTGTGGTATGTCTTCTCTTTAAACTGAAAGTAACCAACAATAACAACAACAAAAACACAAGACTGCTGAATTTTTTGTTTTACTACATTCAAATGGGGTTTTTATGAGGGCTGTCAGATACATCCAAAGCACACAGATTCAGCTCTGGCTTTAAGGATGCTCTCATTTACCACCTTTTCTCTTACTGGGTAAACAATTCTTTGTTTTTTCTTCCTTTTTTTCTTCTCTGGGAACAGATATTGTTATTCTGGTGCATTTAATTGAGCCCGTAGGGAATCTGAGCCAAGTAGTGTAATGAGATTCATGTACTGAATATTCCACTCCCAGTAAGCACCACGGCATCACCACATTTGGAGAGATATTCATGCTGCTCATGTTTAAAATATTGTCTCAGAAAAATAAACAAAAATAGGAAAAATATAACTATATTCTATTCAGAATAAACAAATGGAAAAAAGCATTACTAAATTTGTCGGTAATTTTCAAAAGAAGAAATCAAATATGCCCTTTTATTAGGCATTTTTGCAGAATACAGTGAGAGTTTCATGTAATTTCAGACACTCCTCAACTTTAGTAACATGTTAAACAGTTTACATCAAAGTTAACTGTGGAAACTCAGGACAAAAGTTTGGCACAAGGCTATTTACAGAACATGGCAGAGGAAGAATGTAGTTTTTGATTAGAGAAGTCCATGTCTCAATTTTCTTTGTTCATTCATTTTTTCCCCTTGATTTGATCTTTACAGAGACCTAAATGTCAGATATCCTCCAGAATAGCTTTATGTCATGCCTGTGTCATTGGCTTTTGTCAGGGCTAACGCAAAGCTGAAAAAATGCTCTGTGTGAAATCTTTTCTAAAGCTACCCCTGTTTACATCTTTGTAGGGAATATTAAGGAGGCTCACGCTGATTTTCCTTCGCTGTCCAGCTTGACAGCATTGGCACCTTTCTTGGCAAGAAGCGCAGCAACTTTCTCCGCCTCGCCGTTCTCCACCGCAGCCAGGAGCCGCTCATCATTTTTGTTCCACTCATTGACCTGAAAGGGGGGGAAAGACAAGAACAAATGAGAGAGACATAAAGATTTACATTGTACTGTAAATCCCTGTGAGTTGGCAGTATCAAATCTCAACACAGATGTTTTCTTGTGATGTTACACCTGATAAATGTATGCTGGACTATCATCAGGAAGGAGAATAGGGCCAGACTTTGCTAAAAAAAAAAAAAACGAGAGAGGCCCAAAAAAATGTGAGCAATGTCTCCAGAGTAAGAGGATGTTTTCTGGCTCCGTCTTTTTCCACACAAAGCATTTGTTATCGTTTGGTGAGCGGACACATAAACACAAACCAAACGTTTCCATCACTGAAAACCTCCTCAGATGCAGAGCACTCAACTGTTGGAAAGCTCCGAGCGTGATCTCATTCATAGACCATCTTGCTCTACAGCAATTTAATGGTACACGATACAGCTTAAGCAAGCTTAAAGAGCGTGCCACCTAAATGAGCGAAGGCAAACCCGCAATGGTAAAAGTCATCTATGATTCCCAAGAAAACCAAGTCAACTAAAGGCAAAATATCACATGTATTCTATTTCACAGGTCATCTCTACTTTTAGCCACCTGAACATGAGTTTTCACATCATCTGATTTGACCCGATAGCCCACTGACCTACACGTGATAAGGTGAACTCCATGACTCCATAAATGCATGTGGGGGCAGACTGAACCCTATTTTAGAAGGAGAAATAAGCCAACGTAGCACTACAGGGTGTAAATAGCAGCTGTGGCAAACACCCATGTGCAACCACTGCAATACATTTTGCACAGCTGGTGGAAAAATGCAGGCCTGTAAAAAAAAAAAAAAAAAAAACTCTCAATCACTTTAACAGCTACAGTAAGATGACCACTGAGCTCTGCAGCCTGAGCCACGGAGCCATTAACACGGATCAGTGAGGGGTGAAAATCTTTATAGAACATTACTTAAAACCAGTGCCCTAAAATACCACATGTAAGATGCCAATGCTCATATATGATTCAAAGTAACCTGGACTCTCAATTAATCACACAAAAAGCTTGGCAAATAAAAGAAGAAACACGAAAATATCGGCCGTCACTGGAAATTTGACTGCATTTGTGAGCCACCTCATCAAACATGTTGCAGAAATATAATGATTAGAAGTTTCTCCCATTGCAGTGAGGAATGATAGCAGCAGGTATTTGGACCAATTGGTTTGGATTCGTTGTTTTCAAAGAAGCTGGCAGGATTCCTCCTTCTGTATGTAAGAAAATCATGAGACCTTCTCAGTCGGCAGTCATGTGTTGTTCATGCAGCATAAAGGGCAAAGAGGCAGTCGATAACTAAAAATAGTGGCATTTGAGAGACTGTATCAGAACAGAGCCAGTTCAGTGAAGGCAGTGGAGGAAAGCACACGGACACATCCTGAGCTCGAGCTCCAGTTTGGAATGTAGAAGTACTTTGTTTACATCGTTCAGCACATTTACATGAAAAGGAGGCAGCACTTGTTCAACAGCGACCAGCTTTGTCCTTATCTTCTTTTGCGGATGCCAGGAAGGGCAGAACCAGCTGCTGTAATCGAGTGCCTTTATGATCCGGAAACTGAAGTAAAACAAACCCACCCCTAGAACCGATAGCAATAGTTCTACACCACATAGAAATTGTTGTTTTTTTTTTAACAAAGCTGACAACCTATGACTTTGCATCTTTTTTTGTATCAATTGCACAAATTTGTGCAGAAATGTTTCAGTCTAACCCATCAGACGTCTTCTGCCATGTGCTTTTTTCAGCTTTCTTTTAGCTGTAATGTCATATCACCAAACTATCCATCTGATGAAGGACATATTGGGTTCGCAGATCTAAATGTCCACTTCTCCCTCCAGCAGTTAAAGCCAACAAACAGATCAAAGAGATTAAGCGCTACGTTTTCAGAGGGACTCACGCAGAATTTAAAATGTATTTTTCACAATGCCAAATGGAATTCACCCCATTTATTGAAGTATGCTCTGAACAGTGCCAAAGAAACAGGATGAGTTTTTGAAAAAAAACGCTTTTATGCATCTCACAGCTTAACTACTACCACGGTTTAAAATGTGCAAGTTAGGAATTCCACAAAATCCTTCGTGGAGAGAAGAAAATTTACAGCCAAGAATGCAAAGACAACCTTGTTTGAGGGGGGAGATAAGAGTAGCTGAAATCTCTTGGTTCAGGGATTCCAGCTAAAACTCATGAAGACAAGAACGCTCGCCTCAGTAGAGATTAGCTCACGCTGTTGTTGGTTGTCAGTTTGCTTCCAGAAACTCAAGAGGACATCTAAAACATTTAAAACTTAATCTGAACTTCAAATGTAGATAGAAGGATACAACTGTTCTCGCTGTATAAAACTGAAATCTTTTTTTATAACATTGCTATTAACCGTCATTTGTGGAGGTCTGGCAGCAGAGACGGCTTTGTGTGCACAACTTTTTGCACTACTATGGAAAAATGTATGTTTGTCACTCTCTTTTTCTTCAGAACTAAATGTAAATATATACTCCATTCACATCTCAAGACATAAACCAAACCAGAATGAATGAGCCAATGTATGAATGAGCCATGTAAGAATGAGCGTGTAAAGTGTCCGTTTGATTTTTGATAGGCTTGAAAAACATGAAGGGCGTTCCAGACAGAGCAGCATGGCATCAATAGCATTAGACTACAATACATTGTACTGGACAGGTTTAAGTGGAGCGGAATGCATTGCTCCAGTTTCGGCCACATACTAAAGCAGTGTCATCGCAGGGAGGCTCAGGAAGTGAGCGTGTGCAGGCAGAAAGGGAGCCAGAAATCAGCCTGGACACCGGCTCCGGCCATGGTGATTACACAAAGAATATTTCAAAGTTTTCTAAAAGAAAGAATAAAGAGCTCAGGAAAAGTATACATTATCCAGTTTCAGAGCCAGAGGGCCAGCTTTGAATGGAAGAGGCCACCTACAGTTTGTATGAGGTTTAAGAAAAAATAAGAGTGAATTGTGGAAATTTTGAGGAAAAGTTGTTTCGGTTACACAAGTTAATTGTAATTTTATCATCATTATCATAATCATTATTATCTTTCCCAAACTTCTGAGATGTTTTTTAAGTCTCCGAATGAAATGAATGAATGACTAAGAATCAATAAATCTGTGACAGAGCAGGCGGGATGTATCAGGACATGTGAGCAGACCACCAAACATCCCATATGAATGGGGTCTTCTGTTCAGTTAATGCGAAGATAAGGAGCTGCTGGTGTTAGATTTCCAGAACCTTTTCACAATAACGACACAAAAAAGACACATTTAAGAAATGTGTCACTGGTCACTTATTCTGAGAGCCTAGCTCTGTGTGCACCACCAGGAAGTCAAACTGACTTCCTTCTCCCGTGGTCAGCTCCGTCTATCCGCCTGCCTCCTCTTCGGCTCGTCCCTCTCTCTCTGTTTCTTGTGTAAGTGTGTTTACAGAGGGATGGGGGTGTGTGTCCCCTCTCCGTCTGTGGTCTGACACTCGTTGCGACACACAAAGAGTGTCCTGATAACACTAAGTGTTTCCTGTTTGTGCAGGCCTGAGGCCGGCCGTGAGGACGAGGACACGGGGGCGGGCAGCAACTGCGTGTGAGGGGTTTGGAAGGGGCAGGTTCCACAGCACGTCTCTGCTAAAAAGCCCTCCGTTCCACAAATCCAAATGGTATAAGTCATGAGACCTGTAGATCTCCATGGATTCTTGTAATTTTCTTGGGATTTATTATATCAATAAAATAAAACAAAGCACAATGTTCTTAAAATAAACTTCAATTCATCGCTGTGCCAAATTGAATGGAAGTCCAATACTTCTCCAGCTGCTCTCACACAAGCCAACAGTTCCAGTTAATAGTCCTACAAAGAAAAAACAAATACTCTCAACTTTATTTGAAGTTGAGAGTGTACTATTAGCCAGGAAATCTTTTTCTTGATAAGACTTTTGAAGCCACTGCAGGACAGCTGAGTACAGCTGTTAGAGAGGCACGAATAGCAGATAAAGTCTTTTTGTGCTTGTATCTTTTACATTAAATCAATTCAGGTCAGCTTATAACACACTATGTAACACACTGACCGACATTAGCTTTTAGTGCAAATAAGAATTGGATTTAACGCACACGTATCCTCAGGTGGACTAGATAAGAAAGGAAAAAAAACCAGATTTAAATACAGAGGGGGAAAACATCCATGCAGGGGGAGCGGGTCATTGTTTAAGAGATGAAGGAGGGAAGCACAGACAGGAAGTGGACAAGAATACAGAAGAGTTACACTGTACAAAACAAAAAGGAAGAGGCAAAGAAAAGGATAGAGAGTGACACATGTACAATTTCTCTGCCCTTTGATCAGCCGGGGCTGTTAACTTCAAACCCCTTATCTGCAGCAGGGCCGATGCTCAAATGTCCTCAAACAATACGTCCTTTTTCTTGGACCACAGCTGAAACCGCTTACTGCCCTCTGTAGTACGTACAACACACACACACACACACACACTCAAAGAGTTTAAACTCTGAAACCAAGAATAAAAGAGTAAGTATGCAGAACAGTTAAACAAAGACCAGATGGCTGCTCTTATAATGAAAGATGCTGCCATATATTTCTCAACACTGGCAAATGTGAGACTCGCTTTGAGAGAATGAAACAAATTTTCATCATGGGAATACCTTTTTCTCCCTGAAACTTCACCAGCAACCTTTTGTTCTCAAAAAAATAAATCTCACTTGAAACCGGCCCAATTCTGGATTTACAGGCATAATGCTGCTGTATGGAAATCATCAAAAACTCCATAATGAGCCCATCTCTCTCCTGCATCGCTACATTAAGCCACACGTTTCCTTCTTGTCAGAGGCCATTCTCAATTTATTCATTATTAGAAAATTAGATAACAGACTTAGTGATTTATTATAGAATTATCACTGGTTTTTGTCTTTTTTATTAAATCAAGCATTTCAATTGTGACAAAACAAAGTTAAACATCACTTCACTTGACTTTTTTTAACC